TTGTACCTTATTATGTTGACAACTTTTGTGTGACAAAACTAAAAAAGTTCGCAGCAAGACGTCTTCCCTTAACACAAAGATGATCTTACAACAATCACGTCTATTAGAGATTGCGCTCTATGTAACTCGTTCTTTATTAGACTTCATTTGATCTGTGATTTTCTTTAAAGAATGGTGGCCTGTGCTCTTTTGCATGAAAATTACTTCAATATCAGTCTGTCATCCTTTTTTTTTTTTTTTTTAAATTTAATAATAGTATAATACTGACATCAGACATATTACTAGTCAGGTGCTATTGTGTGCTGTCAATCATAACATTTATACATGCATGTGACACACTGTCAAGAAAGTGAGAATGCAATATTTACCATTTTATAAAAGTTCTTAAGCTTTTGATAGCATTTAATTATCTACAAGTTTAAATGTCAAATGAATAATTTAAAAAACTATTATTATTTTTTTTTTTTTTTTTTTTTTTTTTTTTTTTATATTTCAGTACTTTTTTAATGAATGTTGAAGCTCTCTCCAGGTTATGGTAAATGGAGCTAAATTACCAAGTAAACAACTGCTAGCAATTGCAGTTGGCAATAATACTTAAATAAAAATAAAATATCTGCCAAATGAAAGTATTCATCATGGATTATGAAATTCTACATACTTTTTATGAAACATTTAAAATAAGTGTTTAAAATTTCAGACCGTGATGATGCTGGACCTTATACTGCAGTGTATGAGATTAAAAGTTCTCAACGGACATTTGAACACCAGTGTGTTGTGGAGTATACAGGTCAGGCATTACTGCTAAGTAAAAAAAAAAAAAAAATTGGGGGGGGGGGGCTGAGTGGTAAAGCGCTTGGGCTGGAATCTGGGGGACAAATGTCTTATTTATAATGATTATTATTTTACTGGGATTTTGATTTTTAGGATATACCTATTCAGTTTTAACAAGACAAAGAAACTAAGTCCAAACCTTTGTAAAACACAGATGATGGTTTAATACTGAAAAAAGGCCACAGTCGAGTCTCTGTCTATAAAACGTTATCTCTAAGAAATCCTAACACCAACTTTATTATCCTAAAGTAGTCTCTAACCCAACTGAGTCATGACATCACATTCAAGGTCCGTCAACTATGGTGCGTCTCTATACAAGCTACTAATACTAACTAACTATCTCACAATATATATAGTATCAGTCAAAACAGTTAACATATTGGACCTTATTGTACTTTAGTGAATTTTATGAATACAAAGTGTGAAATGTAAATAGTGAACAGGAGTTAGATTTGACCTGAAGTAAGGTCAAGTGAGAGATCGAGAGTTTTAGTGAGTTGGAGAATTTGAGTTGAACAGTTGGCAGAAGCAAGTGAGAGATGAAATGTATTAGTAAAAGAAGTAAGTCGAGTCTTAGTTTGAGTTGAGTTGAGAGAAATGCCTACATGCATCCTACAAAATTAATTGAATGATATTCATCTCTAATATCACTTACAAATAGCTTTTTAGTTGTTCATATTGTAAAATATTATTTAACAAAAACATGCTTGTTCTTGTTTTATTTAAAAATTGTCTTACAAACTTGCCAGCAATGGGAAACAATGTCTATGAACAAGCTATGTAAATTAGGTTTAAAAAACACTAAAAAGCCTATGTTTCTTCATCTTAAGTTTCAGGTTTTGATGTGTTTATTTCTCTTTTTTTCTTCACACCAGCTGGGCCACTAGTTATGGACATGGCTCGCTCACGTAACCTTGAGCAAGGTGACGACTTAAAATTATCCTGTGAGGTCAAAGGTTACCCCCAAGCTGTAATCATTTGGCAGAGGGATAAGATGAACATCACTAGGAACGGAACAATCTTCAGTGAATACATGGGCTATAAAGATGGACAAATTGAAATAAAAAATGTCCAGTTTGATGGTAAGTCAGACTAATAGTTACTTTGACACTTCACCTCTTCTCTCTCTCCCCTCTCCCCCCTAAAAAAAAGTTATAAAAATGGATGAATAGCTTTTATTTAAAAAAATTGTGTCATGTTCATTTAAAAAACAATATTTTTTTCTCTTTTATTTATAGATGCTGGAAATTACACCTGCACCGCTTACTCTGAGAGGTTTGGAAACTCATCTACCAAGAACATCATTGTCAGGGTCAAAGGTAGGCATTGCCAGCACATCAGGCTCAGGCTTGTTGGTTGGTCTTTTCTTTGCACAATTATAATTCTTTACATATCACATGTTCTTATACTAGTCATAGAAAATCTATTCTTTAAGTTAACTTTAACAAATCAAAAACATTTCTTTGAGGTATTTTCATCAGAATGTTAGACATGTTTACAATGGGCATGATCTGAGTTTTGTGTTTGCAGACAGAAGTTTATTGTCTAGAGTTTATTTGTAGTTTTCCCTTGTCATCTCATTTATGTCCATATTTGATTGGTATTTACATTGGCCCTTCTTTTTTAACTGATTATACCACAACTTTCATGTACACTGTCTCCATGACTTTCCATTAAGGCTAGAACAGTAGAAATTGTAAAACTCCTTTTTTCCTCTACCAACCAGATTATTTTAAGGTCCTTTGTCAATCCATTGTGCACTGGTTATGCATGAGTGTCTGTTTTTCTATTTTCTATGTTGTTTGTATTTTGTCAATATTTTTATTGTTACAATAGTAATGCTGAGGTGGGCTATTGTAGTTAAATTGAATTTCTTTTTGCTTGGACCAAAAAAATAATTTTATCTTATCTTAGTAGAGATAGCACTCATGATATTTTAAAATGATACTCTTAAAAAAAAATTGTGAAAGAATCAGTATGTAGAAATAAAAGCTATTGAGTGTTATAAAAATTCATTTATTGATATTGTTTTTTTTCTTGACATAAATACTTAAGTAAACAAAACAAAATGTATTTTATGTAAAGGCTAGCTATACGTTGTAATTTCCTTTACAGATCCTATAGCTTGGGTGTGGCCATTGGTTGGCATCCTAGTTGAGATTGCACTTCTGGCCATCATCATCATTGTAGTCAAGTTGTGTGAGAGGAGAAACAAAGACAGGTGAGTGATTTGTTTTAGATTACTTTGTTTGTTGGAGGATTGTGTGAGAGAAGTAGAAACAAAGACAAGTGAGTGCTTTGTTTCTAAAGTTTGATTTTGGGGGGGGGGGGGGGGGGGATTGTTAGAGGAGATACAAAGACAAGTACTTTGTTTCTAGAATTTCATTTGTTGGGGGTATTGTGTTAGAGGAGGAAAAACAAAGACAAGTGAGAGCTATGTTTCTAGTATTTTGTTAGGTGGGATCTGTTAGAATGGACAGCACTATTTAACATTAAAATTACTGATCTAAAAGTAGAAATTAATTTAATTATATAATAAAGCTTTTTTACTAAATCTTAATTTTGCATTTATGTAAAACTTTGTGTTGTTCAGAACTATCTACTCACATAAATATTTTTTTTCTATTTCTTTCATACAGTTTATCAGAGCCCCCCAGGGAGAAGTATGAATAAGACCGTTCAATAACAAGATCCAAGGGAAATCATCTTTTTTAACGTTGCAATAATTTACCATAGGACCTTTTCTTGGAAATTCTTTTATATTTTTTGCCTCAGAATATCAAAATTTTAAGAGTTTTCTAATTGTCCAGTTTTGCTAACCCCAAATGTAGATAAATTATATTTCTTTAATCAAAATGTTATATTTGCCTTAAGAAATATTTTATTACTAACTCTGAAATAATTCACTATTTTTATTTAAGTAACAGAAAAAACTACTTAAACGTACCTCCCATACTGTTTCAAGTGGAAAATTAACACTGACAAATTAAACTAAACATGTTGACTAATCATGTCATCAATACCTTTGACCAATTTATTTTTCCTGTAACTTTAAGAAACTAGGGCACTCAATCAAATTTTTTTTTTTTTTTAAGTTTTAAATTGGGATGTACACCAGTATAAAGAATGGTAACCCAACCCTAGACTAAATCATTACTGTTTCTTTATTTTCAAATAAAGTAAAAACAATTTCTGTCGTCACTTCTTTACCTTGATCCCCTTATTATACCTTTTTATGGCTGAAATGTCCATCCATTTATGTATTACTTACAATATTTAACGATTCATCCAGAAATAAGGTAACTAAATTTGAATAAATGTGAGTGTAGACGATTAAAGACTTGTGAAACAATCCTGAACTACTGTCTAGTATAATATGTGCCTGAACTACTGTCTAGTATAATGTGTGAGACCAATTCTGTGTTTGTGTGCAATGGTATGTTGAGCTTGACCTTATGACTAAAAGGTGCTCTAATTGATGTGTGTCCCCCAGTGCTGTGATCTTTTTCATGCCTTGCAGCCCTCATGATACCCTCAGTTACAGCACCTCCAACCCATTACCCTTCTCAGTCATGAATATTAAAAAACTAAACAATTACAATCTCCCACTAATTGTCACCACTTGTAATAATTTATTTATATACTGCAAACATTTTTTTTTTAATCATTTACACTTTGTATATATGTGTATCCATTTTTGTAAAGAACTGTTTGAATCTTTATAATAGACTAGCTGATGTGGTTGAAAAATCTATTTTATTTCTTGCAAATTAAACAAATCTTTTTAAGATTGTGTATACATACTTGTGAAAGAGAAAATTCTGTGAATTATTCACAATGCAACATATTTCTGACAAAATTAGGACTTAATTAAAAAAAAAAATAGGGCTACTGAAATCGCTCCTTGCCAATATATGCCCTGTGCCATGGCTATAACTATTTGTATCTGAAGGATGCTTGTAGCTCAAAATTAGGCCAGTGTTACATTTACTGCTATTTCTATGCCAACTAGGGTGTTGTGAAACAATTTGCTTCAGTTGAATTATAACTAATTTTATTTCTTTCTATTCTGAACATTTTTTATTTACCAACCGTTTTAAGTAATTAGTACTAAAATTTAAGAAACTTGCAATCATTATCTATTAAACAGTTTTTCAAATGTATACTTGATCATTTATCAGCGATTAGATTTCTTTTTTTTTTTTTATCAGTGATTCCTAATTGAATGTAGCATATTATGTTTATGTAATGTCAATGGACCTGAGCATCATAATCGTAAATGTCCCATTTTTTGTATTTTTTTTTTTGTTATTCTTCTTAGTTCTACTGTACAATTATTTTACTTTTGTACATCCCATTTCTTATAGGTGTAGTAGCATTTTCTTTTTTGTCCACTCATTTTTTTTTTTATTTGTACACATATAATAAATTAAATCTCCATTGGTGTAACATTTTAATTTGTAAATAGTTTTTGTACATTTATTTTTTATGTGTGGTGTACCAGAAAAGAAGGATGTTCTTACTGTCTTTCTGTGAGTAACCTGAATGAGGTTTTAATTACGAAATAAAAAGTCATTGAAAAAAACTAAATCTTGTAGATGAGACTTTCTGTAGTAAATAATTTAGCTGACTGAAACGACACATATTATACTGATCTTCCATCGGTTGAAGCAATTTTTTTTCTCAAATTAAGAAACAAGCAATATCTATAAATAAAAAAAAAGATTCATCTGAGTTTGTTATTGTATGGGATTTAATGGTGTTTTTTTTTTTTTTATTTCTTTTCCATAGAGGCCTTTTCTTTGCTGTATTAATTTGTACTGGCTATGTAAATTATATACATTTTTTCATGTGACTGTGCAAAAAAGAAATTTTGCTTTATAGACCATTGAATTATTTTATAATTATAAATGTAAATTATTTTAAGTCTGAAACATTACATTCAAACATTTTAATGTTATTTAGTTTCTTGCTTAAACTGTTTATTATTCAGGTGCATTAAGTCACATTACGATGTTATCGAAAGCCTGATGACATTTGTTTACAGCTCTGGTGAATTTATTCTTGAGTACTGACATTTATTTACTCAGTATTTATTTAAACTGTGGTCTGTGTTTCATGTTCCTAGCTCAATCATTACAATCTTCTTTCACTTTGCACAAAGGGATGTTTAGATAAGCAGGCTTTAAAAAAAAAGAAACATATAAACACTTTGTCAAGTACTGGGGAAAAAAAACACATTTTATTTAGAGTGTGTATATTTACCACTGCTTTTCTAACATTGGACCTTTGCGAATACACAGTCCTGCTTAACCTAACAGAAACACTTGTAGCAATAATGAAATCTACTTAGATAAACATCAGTAATATATTTGGAATACCAGTTTATTTAGTACTTACTACTTAAAAATAATTGTCTTTTTTAATTAAAAGATTTTTGTTTCAATTAACATGACCCAGTTTCTATATGCTTAAGAAGTCTCAGTGGCAAGTTCCCCCCCCCCCCCCCCCCCCCCCCTGTATTTCTGTGCTAATTAATAGTTACACTGTGTGTAATACCAATCTATTGTTTTGTAGTGCTTAATGGATAAAAGACTGTCCTTAGTTCTTAGAATATATGCTACATAAGCTAGAAATTTACACTTAAAAAAAAAAAAAAAGGCTACTTAATATTCGGCTACTGTTTGTGATAAAATCAGTCATGTAAAACGCCTTAGTCCAAGTATTTTATTTTTCTTTTAATAGCTAAATTTGTTAAAATTCTAATTTTTTAAAGATTTTGTTTATTATTACTTAGTTTATTGTTGCTAACATATATATTATGTATTAATTCCTGTTTGATTTATGAACAAATATAAAACCTTTTTGATATTTCCATTCATCAACTAATCAGTATGCCTTCTTTCTATGCAGCATTAAATTTCTCTGTTGCTGTGCCTTGCTTATAAGTCAGACTGTCACTTTACATGATATATATAGAGAGTACAACCCTATGTCTAGGGCTATTCTATTCTCACATAAATATTACAAATGGTCACTACAAAATAGTTCTACTGGTTTCATAAAGGTTAACAGTTGTTTATGCTAAACAATAAGAATGATTGAAAGTCTACATGTGGGCACAGTCTTGATTATTGATATTATTTCTCAGTCTGATGTTCACTCAACAAAGATCATTACATGTATCAATATTGTCAAAATGCACTTGATGTCAACTATGAATCAAACATTTTTGAATTCTTGTCTGTCGTCTCTTTAGCACATCAATCCACAACTAAGATTCAATTGTTTTTAAAACTATCTTCGCAAAAACAATTAGTAAGAATCAAAAAGTAGAAAAGTTTTTTCATCTGTCAAAGTATTATTTTAAAATATTTCTCCAATATATTCTAAATACTATTGATATGAAGATTATTAAATTCACTTTGTGACCTGATATGGGAAGTTAATTAAAGTCGCTAGAAAGCATTTTGCTAATTGATATTGTTTTTTGTTTTTTTAATCTTCTAGTTCATAGTCTGTCTTGAAGTCATTTTTAGTGAACATTGTGTCTCCTAGCTGTGCTTGTGTGGACTAAAAACCAGACCCAATACTAAGACATTTCACAGGCTCAGTCTTGAAGGAAAACCTGCATGCATTTGTTTTTGTTAGGTAAATAAATTAAGTTAGGACTTTTTTTAAAAATTTCGAATTGAAAAAGCTTAATACTGTATACATATGTCAGTGCTAGCGAGCTTAATTGGTAAATGCATTTTTAAAAATGTTCTTTGAAGTTCATTCTCCAATTACTAAAAGGTTTAGTGTCTGATAATTACACAATCCCCCTCTCTCTCTATATATATATATATAAATATATATATTGTTACGAATCTCACAATCCAGGCTCGCTGCAAATTGCACCAAACGACACCACCAACTTAAAGAACTTGACAACTCTGGGCTTCAAAATAACGTAATAGTTTAATGTCAATAAATAACAGCCAACACTGTACAATTGGCAGCATGTAACACAAGACTGTACAAATATCTCTCCGCCGTATCAACTCTTGCACTGGTCTCTCTGTCTTGTCTCGTCTCGAACCGTTGTAACGAACTGTAGATCGGTAAGTTGTGACTGACTGGTCTCTGATACCTTCGCTCTTTATATAGGGTCCCTGCTGGCCTTCTAGAACCGGGCCGAACGTCGCTCGACCATTCTGGGTGGTCATATGACTACATTCCTCGTGACGCTCCTGAGCTCTGTTCACGACGTCAATCCTACTCGAACCTTCGTGTTGACACTCGTCTCGGCTGACCGTTGTAATTCGTCACGGTTGACCGCTCGTCTATCGCTGGCCTGGGGCGATTTGCGTCGGCTGACTACACACACACATCACTACCCCCATCTGTGCCACCACCAGGTTTATAACAATATATATATATATATATATATATATTATAGTTTTTTCAGTGTTTTGTATGATCCAAATTGGCCAAATACTTTTTATATCGGTATTTTATATAATTCTTATGGTAAGCTATCGAAACAAAACCACATGTGATGAACATAAAATTTAAGAATAGTTTCTACATTTTTTGTCCTTTTAAAATATTTTCTAATAAAATTTCTTTGACATTTTGTAACACTTTGAGTACAAATAGTTTATAATTTTTTAAATTGAAAAAATTTTGCTAACAGTATCTTTTTTAAGTGTTTTGTTAAACCATGCTACATATGAATTGTATGTATTTCTTAAACACATAAATATATGTATATTGGAATAAAACTTTTATCCTCCATTTAAATTATTGTTATTATTTATTGAATCGCTACTGCTGGGAAAAGCTGTTATTGCGTTAATGCTCAGGCTTTTGTTTTCAAATTCGTCACCCTGCTCTAATCAGGTGCAAAGACGTTGATCTTCCCTAAGCATCCCCATTGGTATGCAAATATGTATAAATCATTTTAAAACTGAGGGAAACAGGAAGCTCCTGTCACATGATCATAGCCTATGTCAAGTCTGATATACCTCACACCTTAGATTTTGAAAACTGAGCTTGCAATTGATTGGATGAACCATGCCAGTAAGAACACTTTTTTTTAAAATATTTCATATTTCATCATTAGCTCAAACAAAAATTAAGTCATGCACAGCATCTTCTTTGGATTGTTGGCCCCTCCCTATTTTGTCAAAAGAAATGACTTGCAGTGAATCAGTGGAGAGAGTCCCCATTTTATTTCCCACTTAGCATTAGACAGGAAATGTAAGAAAAATAAATCTACAGGTTTCTTTTGAATAGTTTTAAATATGTGATAGGTAAATTGATTATTTAAAATTGATTCTTGTTTTGTCAGGTACACTAACTAATTGTACAAAGTTTCAACTTGATCCGAGAATGAATGTGGGAGAAATAATCTGTTCAAACTTTTTAACAGACAGACAGGATTGATATTAGCTTCGTAAAAATAATATTTTTTTTTAAAGTCTACTTTTGTAGGTCAGTGAGATCTGCTAATAAATGTTATGGCAACAGGAAGTTGCGTAAATCGTTGCTACCGGGAAGACAACACTCTTCGGAAGACGGGCATCAAAATGTCGGGTGTTACATTCATTTTGACCTTCTGGCTTTCTGCGGTGATTGCTTTGTCGTTTGCTGCAGGTAATATAGATCTATAGATTTATTGTTTGCAAGTTATTACTATGTAACATTGTATAAGTTGGACTCCTATTTATAATCTAGATCTCCTAACGTCATGATTCACTCAGTCTCACTCATTTATGACTCGGAGTCAATGCTAAATAAATATAAAATAATAAATAAATAATCACTGAGACTTGAATTAAGTCTCAGTGATTATTTATATGTATTATTTAGCATAGCAGATGATAGCATAATAATCATAATTGGCATATGTCCATACCATACGATGATAATTGAATCTAATTATTTTAACTCATTGAATTCATTGATAAATATTTGATATACTCATTATCTCATATATACTAATATTAAATATAGATCTAGTCAATCTAGAATATTCTAGATCTAATTGTATGATTGATTGTTTGTGTGACTGTCAGTGGTGTCATTTAAACTAAAGTCATTTAATATTAACTAGATCTAGAATCTAATTTAAGTTATTATTATGATTAATCATTAAATAATGATCAAGTCACAAGTCAACTATTAATTCTTGGTAGTGCAAAAAAAAAAAAAAAGGCCGGGGGGGGGGGGGTGTTAAGTTTAAAAAAAAAACATACAATATATACTTGACTTAATCCTGTGCACTCCCAGGGGAGCATAGGGCCACAACCACACCTCTCCACCAAACTCGGTTCTGATCAGCTTTCTTCATCTGCTCCCATGTCATTCCAGTACCCTCAGCTTCACTGATGACTGACCTCTTCCAGGTTTGCTTGGGTCTGCCTACTTTCCTCTTTCCTTGTGGGTTCCAGTCAAGTGCCTGCCTTGCAATATTGGTAGCTGGTTTTCGCAGGGTGTGTCCTATCCAGCTCCATTTTCGTTTTGTGATGTCTTGGGCTATGGGCTTTTGTCTAGTTCTCTCCCACAAAACGATAGTAGTTATCTTTTTTGCCCACTTATTCTTAATATCCGGCGTAGGCATCTGTTAACAAAGGTCTGAAGCTTTTCCATATTTGTTTTAGTGACTCTCCAAGTTTCTGAACCGTATAGAAGGACAGACTTAACATTCGTATTATAGATTCGTATCTTGTTGTGTAGAGATAATGCCTTAGAGTGCCAGATAGTTTGAAGAGTTGAAAAGGCAAACCTAGCTTTATTGATCCGAATTAGTATATCATCAATATATAGATCTAGCTAAACAAAAACATAAAACTGTGCCTGACAAATATTTCAAATTAAGGGAAACCAGAAGTAAGCCTTGAAAAGTATGTCTGTGGGAGCATCAGAAGTGCCCCCAAAAAAGTGTTGTTCTGTTCAAAATAAGATACAAGCAACATCAAGGGCCTTTTCTATCAAATATTTTAATGCAAATGATACAATTAATGAAAAACAAAATGTGTTGGCGAATTGGTTTTGGGAACATCTTGTATTTCAAATATAATGGCTGAGAAGGATCCAAGGAATAACATACCAAGATCATGTCACCAATAGAGAAGTTCTTTCTCGCATGGGCAATTGTTCCCTGAGTGAAATTACCAAACCATGCATTAGATTCGTGGGACATGTATCCTTGGTAAAGGCAAGATGGGGATAGCGAAAACAAGGCCATTTTAGTATAACATGGCATTGTTTCTTGCTACAAGACCTAAAATTTGCTGGTACCAACTAGGAAAAGGCTGAACCAGTGGAGAAAGCTTGACACCCTTTGCACAGAATGGTGTGAAAGGACCTGGGTCTAAGTCTTGGGATATTGTTTTAAAAATTATGCTCTTTTTATCACCTATTTTCAAAACTTCCACCTGTGTTATGTTATATATATATATATAGATATATTGAGTCTATTTATTTATCATGTAGAAAAAAACAACATCTTTTTAGCCTTACTT